GTTTCAATATCTGAGGGGCTGTCACAAAGAAGAGGGGGTCACGTTATTCTCCAAAGCACCAGAAAGCAGGACAAGAAACAATGGTTGGAAACTGATCAAGGAGAGAAGCAACCTGGAATTAAGGAGAAACTTCCTAACAGTGAGGACAATTAACCGGTGGAACAGCTTTGCCTTCAGAAATCGTGGGTGCTCCATCACTGGAGGTTTTTAAGAAGAGATTGGACAGACACTTGTCTGAGATGGTATAGGTTCTCCTACTTGAGCAGGGGGCTGGACTAGAAGACCTCCAAGGTCTCTTCCAGCTCTATTCTATTCAAACTAAATGTCCATCTGATGCTACATTCCATTTCCAGTTCTGAACATACAGAGGCTTCCAAGAACCTCAACCGTAACAATTATACTTTCGCCCCGCCACTGAAGCTGCCCCAGCAGACTCCACAATGTGTCTTCTCCTTTTTTCATCCATGCTTTGTGAACTTACAGCAGACAGCAGAGAAGTGAAGGCGATATATTGTCTGTTATTGGCTCCAGAGCAAAGCTGGAGAAGAAGAATTTGAGATGAATCTGAAGTGAGGAGAGCAATGACAAATTTGGACGAGAACGTGAAAATAAGGATAGGTGTGCATTATGAAAGAGTTCAGAGCAGTTAAAACAGGGGTCTGTCCAATTATGTAAGGACACTGAGGAAAAAAATGAGGAAAGAAACGATTAGAAATGGTTACCTAGTCCTAGAGAGTACATCAACTGCTGGCAGAATCTATCAACTCAAGTCCTAATGAAGGCTGATGGCTCCCTTGAGGTGGTGGTCAGATGGAATTCACATACTTCAGATGTGACACTGAAGTAATCATTCTTGATAAGAGCACTTTCCTCCAAGGATTTTTTAAAAACCATTTTTGAAACCTATCCCTCCCGCTAGTCAGATCCATATCTTGCATATGTCAGTAAAATTATGATTACTTCATGGTTAAGTGTTGGCTCTGTATAAAATGGGGAGACCACCGAACCACATTTTAGAGCTTCAGAAGGAACTAACTAAGACTAAGTGTGTATGCCATGGTCCACATACTTTGGAGAACAAAGGAACACTTTTGTGATTTTGCCATTTTTAGCCATGTCTCCCCAGAAAAGAGGGAGGGCTTTCCAACCTCGGGCAGTGTTTCAAGCACCCCCAAAGCCAATTACGATATTGCAGAGTATAGATCAGAGGAAAGAAGAAGCACAGTCTTATTGCCAACAAGACAAGATTAATTTAAAAAAAAAAAGATTGTTAACATCTTGAAATGATGCCTGTGTGATTCACACAATGTGGATCAACAGGACACCATAGCGTCACATCTTTCGGCAGGGAGATGAGCCTTTCACAACATCACATGGCTAACGACAACAGTGAATCATGTTGCGATGCATCTATGCGTGTGTGCTTTTTCTTACTCAAACAAAAAATAGCTGCAGGAGCTTCAGAACCCTGCAAATATATGAATGAGAGTCATTATTCAGCAGGACCTGAGGATCCTGATGGAAATGGGGCAGATGGCAGGGTCTCCCAGGGCTTTCAGCTGGATTCCAAAAGATGAGGAAGGAGATGCCCAGAAAGAGAGGCCCAAAATATATATATCGGTGCTCTGTGGTCCCGCAAAACTCAACGTGCATGAATTTATACGAGCCCAGAAAGACATCCCCACAAATGCTCCAGAGTTTTGGCAATAAGAGCAGTGCAGAAGATTTATTTTTTAACGCACGCACACAAACAGAGACCGTATAGATTAAAGGAAGCTGGAGTTACCATGGTAACCCATAGGACCAGCTCAACACTGTGTATTTTACAGTGTCGTAATTCCGGGGCTGGCGAAGGCCAACCAGAAGCGTTATTCCTGTCCCTATGGAAACCGAAGGGAATAGCTGTAGTCGCGCTGTAGTCACAGGGAATTAAAACCATCCTGGGAACATCTATCTCCAGCTCAGCAGACAGCAATTGCTGACGTGGAGAGCTGCCACCAATTTATTCAGGAAGAGGAAACCCCTGTATATCAGTATCAGATTCAAGCCAGCTGGGATTCTCAGCCTACAAATTAACTACAAGGGAAATACAACGGGTCTGCCAACCGATCGACGCGAAGGATCTGTGTCATTGGAGAATGAAGTTTCTCCCCCCTCCCCGGTAAACAGGAAATGTTGAATCTTTCTACCTTTTCTAATTGTTAAATGAATTCTTAGCATCTTACCTCCTCCTGAAAGACTTTAGCCTTGCAAAACAAGTGCAGGATTGCCTGGGACAAAGATATAAATGGGGATAGTAGTATATAAATACTAAATCTAAACCCAGATTAATAGGCCATAGCGGTGGTGTCCATATAATGAGTTACAATGAACAACGACAAAAAAGAAGAAGATATTGATCATCATTCTAATGACTCGATGTTACATCGGATTTAGATATAAGGCAATGGCAGAGTTCCCATAATATGGTGAAGCACCCTACTTTAACCTACTTCAGACCTAAGTAGTAATTAAATGGCAGGTGATCGTGAAGTATCAGGAATGTTGATTGAACGGGGAAATCCGAATAGAATCCCAGAATTATAGCGTTCTTGTCAAATTCCAGGCCCAAGCGAAGAGTCCTTATACCAGGGGTCTTCAAACTTGGCCCTTTTATGACTTGTGGACTTCGACTCCCAGAATTCCTCAGCCAGGCACGCTGGCTGAGGAATTCTGGGAGTTGAAGTCCACAAGTCATAAAAGGGCCAAGTTGAAGATCCCTGCCTTATACCATCCCAGACAAATGTTCACCCAATCTTTTCTTGAAAACTTCCAAGAAAAGAGCATTCACAACTCCAGGAGGCAAACTATTCCATTGATTAACCATTCTCACTGTCAGTAAATTCCTCTTTATTTCCAGGTTGGGTCTCCCTTTGATGAGTTTCCACTCATGGGCCTTTGGTGCTATGGAGAATAAATCAATAAATCCCCATGACAGCCTTTCAAATATTGGAAGACGGCTACCATGTCATCCCCAGTCCTTCTCTTTATTAGACTTGACATACCTAGTTTCCTTAACCCTTAACAGTAACTAACAAAGTTAAGCTGCACAGAAAGTAAGCATGAAACAAAGGATCCTGTTCTAGCTGCCAAATTATAAAAAGTATCTCAAAATGTTGTTTTTCTTTCCACGGTTTTGTTTCCGAAATTTTTGAGATTAATTTAGAATGGAATGAGTTTTCACAAACTGTTCTTGGTTTTTTGACAGCTGCCTAGGCAGCAAAAGACACAACTTCTGAAATCATTTTCACACATGTGCTTGCTTAGCAAGTTTCCTACTTTATTTAATGTGCGAAAAAAAGAGGAAAAAAATGCATGTGGCTATTCCACTTTTTGTTTTATTATCCATAGGTCACTTCTCAGCCAGGCTGTATTATCTCTGATTTCACTTGGGGCAGGGTTATATTATTTAGATTATTTCAGGATTTTGTTATATTTATTTATTTATTTGTTTGTTTGTTTGTTTATTTATTTATTTATTTCAGGGGTCTTCAAACTTGGCCCTTTTTACGACTTGTGGACTTCAACTCCCAGAATTCCTCAGCCAGGCACGCCTGGGGCATTCCCCAAGACAATTAAGCTAATATTGATATTATACCATATTATCCCTTTCTTTTACAAGTGGCAAAGGATTCTATGGCAGTTGGACAATTTTAAGCATCAGAGTATTTATTTATTTTTTACTAGGTTGGGGAAAATAAAATGAAAAAGTGTTAAGACAAGTTTTCAAATCAAATATTTTTATCATAGTCTTTGACCAGTCTTCACAATAAAAAAAAGGATAGTTTGACACAATTTGTCATTTATTTATGCACATGAAGGAATGGCAGAACTGGAGGGGGTGGAGTCAAAAGAGGGATCAGCCTAGAATCCCTACATGGCCACAAGTGAACTAAGTCAGCTTCCTTGAATTCTTTTCACCCTAATCTAACTCCAAGCAGGTATTAACTGTTAGTTGAGGAATTTCCTACACATAGGCATTTTAGCAATAAATCAATTCCTCATCATACAAAAACTTTTAGAATAATTGTAATACTTATCTTTTTTAAAAAAAATACATGCTCAGCATTAAAGAGAGCTAATTAACCCCCATTAGCTTATTACTTGCAGTGTGTTTTAGTAGTCCAATGTTTTCATTTACTTTATATAAAAGCATTCTGCATTACAAAAACAGGATTATTGCTACAGTGCCTACGTTGAAAATGACTGCGCTCAAATGAAAAGAGATATTTCCCTTTGGATGTAAAAGACTCAGGATATAATGAATCACGTTAAACTGTTTCTACAGTTTAACGATCATAAAGGAACAACACCATGCTCAGAGAACAGTTCTTCTCAGCACTATGCTGATTGGCTTGTAGACCATCACCAGTCTTATATATATATAGCAATTGTAACTATAGACCATCTAAGGGTGTGTTATCACAATCACATAATAGTACATGTTGTAAGTATCATTTAAGTTTTCCAAACACATTGTGAAGTCTACACCATAGACCTGAAGTAGATTCACGTGGTCACTATTGACCATAAACCTCAAGCATTTGCAATGTAATCCGAAAACATCTATTTATTAGTACTTAATGCCCAGCTTCATGTAACTTAATGAGTTACAATGACATCAGAACGACAACACGTGTGTCGTGATGTCACTGAGCATTGGTGTGATCATGAAAAGGCTTCGTAACAAATACATAAGCTGCATCACTTGTGGGGTCACACCATGTCGTGTGGGTTGCCTTCTTGCTGTCCCCTCTTCCTCACTCACACTCACACACACACACACACACACACACACACACAGCCATGTCAGTCCATGAAGCCAGTGCAAACTCCAACTATCCCATCCAATACTTGCTGATCTGAAGCCTATCATTCCAGGCATCAGCTAACTCCTGGAATCTAAATTTCACACAAGGGAAGGAAAAAAAAAAACCCAAAACAAGATTGGGAACACTCACAAGAACTCTGCCGGTTAAGGTCTGGGCTGAAATCATCACCCCTGCCCAGTCTTTCACAGAGGTCATCCAGCCGACTTCTACCGCCACCGTTTCTTCTTTTTCTTCTGTGCCTTTCAAATCCCCATCTGCCAGGGGCTCCACATTGCTAGTTATCTTCTGGGCCTCCTAGAAAACAGAAAATAGAGAGGATAATTAGAAGGGCCGTGATGGAAAACCACAAGGAAATGGAGTAAAATGGAGTAAAGTTAACATTCTATCTTATCACGAGTGAGCAAATCCTGTCCCTTAGCCAACCACACACAAATCTCAGTGGTGGGATTCAGCCGGTTCGCACCACTTTGGCAGAACCGGTAGCTAATTTTGTGTTGCCCAGGCCCAGAACGGACTTCCGGAAGCTGCATCCACACAGAGAACCGGTTGTTCCCCTCTTTGAATCCCACCACTGACAAATCTCATAAGCCGTACTCAATTCTTTGGTCAATAACTATTGGATTAACAATGGACACTAAGTGTTCTGAATTCTGCTGCTCTCCTTACATCTCCTCTCATCAGAAAAGATTAGATTTTTCTAATCTTTTAGATTTCTAGAGAGACATTCCCTGAAGATGGGCTCCAGCGTGACAAAAGCTCTTGTCCCATTGACCGACTCAGATTGGATCCAAGCAAGATTAGATTTATTTCAAATCTACCTTCTGAAGAAAGGATGTGTTTTAAAAGTTGGATGTTCCTATCCAGCTGTGCACAAGATGCCACGTACTTCAACGGAAGCTGATCCGATCAACCTGAAGTGATGGACTTACAAGAGAATCAGGGTTGGAGAGAAAGGGACAGGGTGTAGAAGAGACCAAGGCTGTCTAAAACAGGGGTCCCCAACTCCCGGTCCATGGACCAGTACTGGGCCACAGCATGCCAGCAACTGGTCTGCACAAACAAGCAAAGCCCCATCCATGGGGTGCAGGCAGCACACAAAACCACACACTCTCTGGTCTGAGGAAAAATCTTTCTCCATGGAACCGCTCCCTGGTGTCCAAAAGGTTGAGGACCTCTGGTCTAAAGGGCTGTTGTAGAATAAGAGGGGTCACTGAATTCCCTTCCAGCTCTATTCTGATGGATGGATGGATGGATGGATGGATGGATGGATGGAAGGAAGGAAGGAAGGAAGGAAGGAAGGAAGGAAGGAAGGAAGGAAGGAAGGAAGGAAGGAAGGAAGGAAGGAAGGAAGGAAAGTTTGTTCCTGGGTTGACTGGTTACCCATTTATTTTAATCTGATTCATCTGAAGAACACATGCTTCTCTGCTTCAATTTTCCTGGACTTCCTTAAATTCTCTTAAGGAAACTAGAGTCACCCATGGATACAGATAAAACAACATAGGACGATGATTAGAGTGAAAAGAATTTTTGTAGATGGGTTGAACTTCCTAGAATGACATTTTTCTGCACAAAGGACAACCCAGAATGAACGTTCAGCGTGGGCCATATTTCAAGAGTTGCTACACCGACTGTTTAGGAATTTTAAACCCAAAGATGCTGGGTCCCTATTCTCTACGGACAACATAGCTGACATCTGCAAACTCTGAGATAAATGTAGCCAGGTATTTATATGGCCTTCTATGTCTCTGTGCATAGACAAAATTAACTGAGAAGCAACAAAAAAATGGATATTAGTCATGCATTGTTTTTTAATTTATGGTTTCTAGAATTAGTTTCCCAAGGATGCTCACACTGAGCGGTGTGTGAAGTCTTAAATGCCAAGCAAAACTGAAATGCAAATTTCCAGCAGGACCACTATTTAAAGAGTCCTTTGATTAATCCAAGAGAGAGCGCCCCCCCCCCCTAAGCCTTTACTGAGTCACTAGAGGGACAGGAAACAGCAAAACAACCTCTGAATCACTGTTGGCCTACAATCATCATTCATATTTGGTGTCTCCAGAAACAGCTACTACACAACTACTGAGTTCTTACATCCAAGATAAATATGTTTTAGTCATGAGTGGCACAAAAGGGGGAAATCGTTAACCTCCAAGCAAGGAACGTCCTGGTTGATTGTTGATCTCGATGATGGGTGGATTCATGTAGCCACCAAGAACAACCCAAAAAAGTCTTTGTCTTTATCTAATAACACACAGCTACTCCAGCGTTTCCCCGGGTCCTGTGTGATGTTTTCCTCTTGTCTCCAGGAATTTAAGGAAGTCCAGAGAAGCATGTGTTCTTCAAATGAATGAGATGAAAAAAAAATGGGTAACCAATCAACCCAGGAACAAACTTTCCTTCCTTCCTTCCTTCCTTCCTTCCTTCCTTCCTTCCTTCCTTCCTTTCCTTTCCTTTCCTTCCATCCATCCATCCATCCATCCATCCATCCATCCATCCATCCATCAGAATAGAGCTGGAAGGAACCTTGGATATATAGAGATATAGATAGATAGATAGATAGATAGATAGATAGATAGATAGATAGATAGATAGATAGATAGAGTGAGAGAGAAAGAGAGAGAGACACACACACAGAGAGAGAGAGAGAGGGAGAGAGAGGGAGAGAGAGAGAGAGAGACTGCAACTCATCTTTTATCTTATGCAGAAATATTCATTAACATTAACTGCTCATTGAACAAAAGAGACTGTCTTGAATGCACTTAGAGATGAAAAAGTACAAAAATAAACCAAAACAAGAAAAGAATCGAGGGAGAAACTATCAATATCCACACATATAAATCAAAGGTCCAGCAGATTTCTTCAGAGATGCAATCTTCTCAGTGGACCGAGAATGTAAACAAACACGGTATTCCAGAAGGCACAGAGAAAAATTGGCTTCACAATACAATTTTGTCTGGAAGAATCGCTCATATACTCCAGAAGATGAGATTCAGTCCTATGGGGGCTTCCTTAGCCGAGCCACACATAATGAGACTTACAGTATTTCTGTGTAAAAAACAAGCCTGGAGCTACGTAGCCTGTTTCTCTCAATCCTAGCCTTGGACCAGATTTATCCCACAAAGCAGCAATACACCAGCAAGAGCAATGGAGATGTCACACAAGAGGACAGAATCAAAGCCAGTGGCTTTAGTTTAAGATCTGGAGTATATATATATATATATATTTGCCTCATCATTTACTTATTGCAATATCCCTTCAGTCAAGCAAATCTAAGACACTTAAAGGTGCAATTAAACAAGTAACATCCAGCAACACAAATGCTTATTTCAATAAATGGAATGGAATAATCAATCATTGCACCCGATACCTCCAAAGTATCTCATTCTTACATCCCTGATTCTCAGATGCATTCTTGAATAGCAAGGTCAGGAAAACTTTCTGAAAGAGATTTTCCTTTTCCTTTTCTTTTTCCTTCCCCCTTTCCTTTCCTTTCCTTTCCTTTCCCCTTCCCTTCCCCTGGTAGAAAGCTTTAATCTCAGCTATCCGGGACTCAAGAGAAAGAGACATTTCCAGAATCCGAGAACGAAATTTTCACTGGTGTCTTATTTATTTAGAGACGCGTTCTAAGTTAATATTATCTTTATGCAGCCAGGCTGCTTACCTGTTGTTGTGTAAAGTATTCATTATTTTAATTGCTTGATGACAGGGAACATATAAATAGAGCGAGGTGGGAGGGTGCATCCATTACTTGGTGCAGCGTTGTCTCTCTTACATTTATAAATGTTGTGGAGACATTGCATATTTATCAGAAGGGAAGATTTAGAGTCACACAACTAGACGTCGGTTTTAAAGCTGTGACAGAAACAGAGACTTCCTGTTAATGGGGGGGGAATGGTTGGTTTTTTTAATATCACAACATCCAAATTCCAATTCGTTTACCATGTTTATTTTTCAAAATAGTCAGGAGGCAGGAGAAAGTCCATTTATGTAATGAAAGACCTATAAGGAAACTGGATCATAGTTACCAAAGACTAGCCAATGTTTCTCAAAGCTGGGTAGACATTGTAAAGCTGTCCTCTCTGATCAAAAATCCCTCCCTGGTGAAATGGCGTCTATGGACAGATTCCCAAAACCTACCAGTATCCAAAACTTCAATCTCCATCACAGCCAGCTCTGCCACATATTAAAAAGACAAAGATTGGGGCCCATTTTCTTCCCTAAATGGACATAGCAACCATCATGTTCTTCCACTGTCTTAATGCCTAAACTGCAGAAGCAAAGAAATGTTTTAGACTGAATCTCTCCAAATCTGACCTTATTTCTTTTCTCTGAAAGAATGCCAAGTCTTTCTCTCTTTAATACATGAGAAAGCTCTGCCTTTGGGGGCAATGAGAGTGGCTTTTCTATCTATAACCTGCATGGACTGTGGACATCCCCACTTCGAAATTATAAAAAATGCATATAGCTTGGGTTTTAGATGTTGGCAGTGGTTTGGTCTCCAAGCTTGCCATTTTAGAATGGGAGTGGAGTGGAGTGGAGTGGAGTGGAGTGGAGTGGAGTGGAGTGGAGTGGAGTGGAGTGGAGTAGAGTGGAGTAGAGTAGAGCAGAGCAGAGCAGAGCAGAGCAGAGCAGAGCAGAGTAGAGTAGAGTAGAGTAGAGTAGAGTAGAGAATGGAATGGAAGTCTTCTAGTCCAACCCCCTGCTCAACCGGGAGATCCTATACCATTCCATACAAATGGTTGTCCAGTCTCTTTTTTAAAACTTCCAGTGTTGGAGCAGCCACAACTTCTGGAGGCAGGTTGTTCCACTGATTTTGTTCTCACTGTCAGGAAATGTCTCCTTATTTTTAGGTTGGTTCTCTCCTTGATTAGTTTCCATCCATTGCTTCTTGTCCTGCCTCCAGGTGCTCTGGAGAGTAGCTTGACTCCCTCTTCTTTGGGGCAACCCCTGAGATATTGGAACAGGGCTGTGATGTCCCCCCTCATCCTTCTCTTCATTAAACTAGACATGCCCAATTCCAGCAACCGTTCCTTATATATTTTAGCCTCCAGTCCCCTAATGTTAGTGTTGACCCCTAATGTTTACTTTAGAAATTTAATCCCCAAATTTCACTACCAGGCTAGGTAACATCATCAGCGGACTTCTACACTTCTACCGGTCTCGCTGATAATGACCAAAGTCATGATGAAAGGCAGTTTCTTGTGATTTATGCTCATGTACTCAGTCAAATGGAAAATAGGAAAAATGCAAACAATTTCATGCTAGCAGCAGACCTTCACTTGCCACCTCCACTGGTTCTCCAAAAGTGAGACCAGACTTTTGGAGAACTCTTCAGGTTAAAGGATTAAAAATATCAGTATTGGTTATAAATCATTACCCGCGTGAGTTTAATGACAGTTAACCTCAGCAAGAGTTTCTGACCCTTAAGAAAAAAAATTCATAGTGCCACAATTTAGGGTGAAACGTAGGTAAGAATAAGGATAAATGATCCCATTACAACAGTGTCAGGCTTAAAATCAAGATCCATTGCTGTTCAAAGAAAATACCATATTTGCATTAAATACTATAGGGGGGAGGAGGAGGAGGAGGAGGTGGTGGTGGAGGAGGTGGAGGTGGAGGAGGAAGAAGAGGAGGAGTCCAACCCATGGTTTACAATAAGCCTTATTTCTCTCTTGCTCTCTCTATTTCTTCTTGAGCATACTTCCTTGAATGTCCCAAAATGTAATTGTTCAGGGTTGAATTGCTTTTACTGGAATTTAATTCATTTTAATTTAATCTAATTTAATTTGAGGCTCTGCCCAAATCCGAACGACTCTGGGCAGTGGAAGAACTGACCCAGCACCTGCTTTAAGATTGACAAAAATTAATGAATTAGTTTTCGTAAGTATGTCTTGCTCATTTGCAGGAAAAAAAAATGTGGATACTTATTAGACACACACACCCCTGAAATAATAAAGCCACTAATAAATCTAAATTGCAGAAAATCATTACAGTAGAAAAACACCATTAGGTAGCAGTTACTAGGACTCAGAAGGTTTTTTTTTTAAAAAAAAATTGATTAAAAGCTCTTGTCCTTCCTACAGAAAAAGGTTGAATTTAAATAGCTTTGGAGAGAAATTAGGAGTCACGGGAGAATACGGCTTAAGGTTGGCCTAAATTTTAACCTAAGTGGAAGAATCTCCAAGGAAAACCCACTCAATCTACCCTTAAGAAAACCAACTATATGATCTCATCCCTAACTAAAAAAACAAAAAAAAAAACAAACAAACCCAAAGAGAAATACATCTTCCATATTTGTTGGATACATCAAAGTTTCATTATTCAAATTGACATCATCGCCAATCAGCCATCCATCCATCCATCCATCCACCCATCCATCCATCCATCCGTCCATCCATCCATCTATCTGATCAATCTCAGGTTCACAGGTGATACGTTGAGTGGGATCTTTAAAATATATGTTTCTTTTTAATCCTTACTTCTCAGCTTTTGCTCAGTTGGTACTTTCAGGATCTGAGTGAACTCATTCCTGTGCCAAGGGATGCAATCACATTTAGACACTGAATTATTTAGAGTTCCACTTAACTGTTTACTTGTCCCCACACGGGAGTATATGAAACAAGTTTACCTTATAGAGAGTTGCAGCAATTATACCAACAGCAAATGGACTGCTACATCCAGAGCTATTGTGAAAAAGAGGGCATCGAATATGAACTTGCAACATTTGCTGTCTTCATACCTGATCTTTTTTTTTTTTTAAAGCAAAGGAAATATTTCGGGAGCAGAGCAATGTAAAGTTTAAATTCAAGCTAAGAAGGTCTCAGTTTCAGACTTATTAGGGATCTCTGATAAAGCACTATATTTTCAACTCTAGCTGCCTATCTGTCAATCGTCCCACTCAGTCATCTAGCAAAGCAAGAATCCTGGCCTATGGTTTGACGAAGAGTACACTTTACTAAAACTTAAGTGGTTACAGAAGTAGCGAAGCTGGATCTGGCATTTTCGAGCACAAACGATACAATTAACCTTCCCTTTTCCCCCGGCCACCCCTGTTATCAATAAATGTCAATTCGAGGACTATTCATACTTTCTGAACAGCTAAAACAACGTTGAGGCACTTATCACACAGGAAAGAAACAATTCTTGGCATGCAAAATTCAGTTTTTAAGAAGAAACTGGACAGCCATTTGTCCAAAATGGTATAGGGGTTCCTGCCTGAGCAGGGGGTTGGACTAGATGACCTCCAAGGTCCCTTCCAACTTTATCTTTATCATCATCATCATCATCATCATCATCATCATCATCATCATCATCATCATCATCATCATCATCATTATTATTATTATTATTATTATTATTATTATTAGTTATTGTAAGCTTGCATTCAGACAAGAACAGCAAGTGGTAGGCTGCATCTGAATATCTGTATCTGAGTACAGAACTGAGAAATGTGCAGGAAGATTTTGATCTTGTACCCTTGCAGGTTTGAATCTTTTGGCGGAGACAAAATTATTTTGTATCGGCTAGCTCCCATATCAAGTAGAACTTGCAACTCTATCCCCCACCCCTCCTCAACGTTTGATGGGTCCCATCCCCCTGGACTTTTGTAACATCTTGAAAATGTTAGGTCCTAAGGGTGGGATAGAGCCCTGCCTGTCTGGATGATTGTTAGATAATGCCCAGATGCTAGGCAAAGAAATCTTGGGAGTAGGACTCATATATCAATGCAGAAAATTCTTAAAGTGAACATAAAGATTAAACCAGAAACTTTCCTTCTGGGTCTAATGGAAAGAGAACTGGAAAAAAAATTGGAACTTTTGATTTTCTATATGTTGACGGCAGGAAGACTGCTCTATACATAAAAATGGAAGGATGCCTCGATTCCCACCATGGACGCCGAATGGCTACAAAAATTAATGGAATTAGCAGAGACAGCCAAATTGACTGTGTTGATAAAATAAAAGAACCTAAGTCCTTTTGTTTCTACTTGGAAACCACTTCTGGACTTTGTGCTTGAGGTGGGAAAAAAAGATATTATGGTTTTAGGTTTTACCGATTAGACTGATTTGCCGATACAGAAATGGCTAGGGGACACGACTATAGAAATGTAAAAAGTTGAGATTTGATTTCAGTGTCCGATTTTACTGCAACAGAGAGAGTCAAAAGTCAATGCATTTTGTTTCTTTCCCTCCCCTTCTTCACACCTTGTTTTCCCTTTTTCTACTGTTGTCCCCTACAGTTTGCTTTTGTATTTTCACATTTTATGTTATAAATGAATAAAACTAAAGATAATGCCCAGCTGCTATGTGTTTTATTTTTATTCTAGGTATTTTATATATTTTATTTTTTGTAAAGGAAGGAAAGAAGGAAGGAAGGGAGGAAGGGAGGAAGGAAGGAAGGAAGGAAGGAGAGAGAGAGAGAGAGAGAGAGAGAGAGAGAGAGAGAGAGAGAGAGAGAGAGAGAGAGAGAGAGAGAGAGAGAGAGAGAGAGAGAGAGAGAGAGAGAGAGAGAGAGAGAGAAAGAAAGAAAGAAAGAAAGAAAGAAAGAAAGAAAGAAAGAAAAGGAAAGAGAGAGAGAAAGAGAGAAAGAGAGAAAAAAAGGAAGAGAAAGAGAGAGAGAAAGAAAGAAAGGAAGAGAAAGAAAGAGAAAGACAGAAATTTGAGGCTATCCTATCACATGTCACTCTATGGAACTTAGCTGACTCCATAGGGGAATGCAGGAAAATAATCACCTCAACTCATAGTAATGTTACCTTCAGGTGGGAACACACAGAGATGTTTACCTTCTCATTCTAATTTGTTCAGATTGGTGAGGACCTTGACCTCAAGTTCATTGTCTATGTAGACCAAGTTCCTCTAACAAAGGCATTGAAAATTACTTCTGAGCTGCAGAACTCCTTTGGAAAGTGTGAGTTTTAACTCGCCAAAGTGCCATTCCAAATTTGTTCTCTACAATATTAAAAATAATAAACCATCTGTGCATAATGCTTAACAGACTGCAAGAAGACAGATTCCTGCCCAGGGGGCCTATAATCTATATTTCTCAAATTGTTATGATTTGAAATTTAAAAAGCGTGCAGACGTGGAACAATACTAATTTTACTAACAAAATCAACAGCTAATTTTCTCCTTCATCCATATTCAACCCCCCAAATGCATCTCTCATTTTCTGTTCTTCCTTCCTGTGTTTACTATCATATTGGAATGCAGAACATTAAAAAAATGATTTTAAATTAGAGATATGCGTTTAGTTGAATATTAAGGGGAAAACGTCCGAATAATTAGAGCAATTCAGCAATAAAATTGGACACAAAGACCATGTCTCCCTTTTCTGATGGATCCTGGCCAGCCATCTCTTGAGCCTAGTTTAATTTGGATAGTTGTACCAAAAGGAAGTTGACTTGGTGGCATCCAACTACATGACTCCATGATCTGTATCTCTGGAACTCAGGCACAAAGCCAACTGGGTGACTCTGGGCCAGTCACTCTCCCTCAGATCTAGGAAGGAGACAATGGCAAACCACTTCTGAAAAGAACTGCACGGATTTGTCCAGGCAGTCTTTGAGAATCAGATATAATTGAACAGAAGACAGGCAGGCAGGCAGGCAGGCAGGCAGGCAGGCAGGCAGACAGACAGACAGACAGACAGACAGACAGACAGACAAGGGTGACGGTTCGTTCTCCGAGCTTGTGGGTAGGTTTCTGAATGTAAAGTTTAGGGGATAGACAGATAGACAGCAGAGAGACAGACAGATAGATAGAGATGATAGACAGAGATGATAGATATGATCAGTAGAGACAGACAGAGATGATAGACAGAGATGATAGATATGATTGGTAAATAGACAGACAGCAGGCAGAAAGATAGAGATAGACAGAGATGATAGATATGATTGGTAGAGACAGACAGACAGAGATGATAGAGATGATAGATATGATTGGTAGATGATAGCAGACAGACAGATAGAGATGATAGACAGAGATGATAGATACGATTGGTAGATAGATAGCAGAGAAACAGATAGAGATGATAGACAGAGATGATCGATATGATTGGTAGAGACAGACAGACAGTGATGATAGACAGAGATGATAGATATGATTGGTAGAGACAGACAGACAGAGATGATAGATATGATTGGTAGATAGATAGCAGACAGACAGATAGAGATGATAGACAGAGATGATAGATATAATTGGTAGATAGATAGCAGACAGATAGAGATGATAGACAGAGATGATAGATATGATTGGTAGACAGACATACAGCAGACAGACAGACTGATAGACAGAGATGATAGATATGATTGGTAGATAGACAGCAAACAGACAGACAGATACAACTTTGTAATAGTACCTTGCAATCAAGGAAGGAAGGAAGGAAGGAAGGAAGGAAGGAAGGAAGGAAGGAAGGAAGGAAGGAAGGAAGGAAGGAAGGAAGGAAGGAAGGAAGGAAGGAAGGGACTGTTCAGAACCTTTTCCAACTAGAACGAAGAATTAGGATATTATGCCTAATCATCTTCATTCCTTCTTTCCTCCAGCAAAGTCTCCATCACCTTACCACAATTTCTTCTGGGGCATCTTAAACAGGATTTACAAATGTTTTGCTAGAATCTGGCTGAGGTTTCTTTTTTGGTTTTATCTTTTCTCTCTCTCTCTTGAGAATCAGGTTCCTGATATGTGTTTACATAGAAGGTGCCGATCCTCCCTCATTTCCCAGGCCAAGAACATGAAATAGCCATGTTAACTTTGTTTAGTTCTGCTGAATCATTGCTGTTCTGCAGTCACCTAGAAGTGCCATTATGGAGTAGGGCTTCAAATAGTACTTTTGTCATTCTAATTCTCCTCCACAACTGCATAATCTCCATGGCAATTTTATTTATCGAGAAGGAAATGCATGCAAAGAGTGACTCAATTAGCAAAAGTGTTGAGATTCAAGGTACGGTCCAACTCCTCAAAGACAGGTAAATCTCTCTCTCTTTTTTTTAATCCCCAGGAGTTCTCCCAGTCCTGTTTTCCTCCCCTTCATTTCGCATCTATTATTCTTCCCAGAACCTCCGTGACATTTTGTGTACTACACTTTGCACATCTCTGCTGAACAACAACCTTCCAGCAGGAACTGTGACTCTACAGCAATCTCCACAAATCAAGTCTGAAAGAAAACAAAGGAACTAAATTAAAAAGAAAACGAAATAAACTACCCATGCCAGCGTTAATCGCCCGCCCTACCTGGATGCCTTTGCAAAATGGCATGATCACGATCACAGTTGGGGGGACGCTAAAACAAGTTTTCTAAACAAAAGCACAATCTCGTGTTTTGGCACGAGAGGATTTGCTCAGAAAGCATGGAGGGGGGGGAGGGACTTATAATTGTGCAAAATCACACCGTATTGCCACGGTTTTCATTAGCAATCGGCTGATTGCTCAGAAACGGAGAAGCCATTGAGAGGGGAGACCAAATATTATGATATTTTGTTTCCCGCTGAAGGAATGGAGGAACAACTGCAAGAGAAAGGCACTGCAAATCAGAAGCAACAAGGCCAAGCACAAATTCCAGAAGCCAAAAAAGTTGATGCTTTGCTCTACAGCTTTTTTGTGGCCAACAAAAGAGAGATTTTCCTTGTTGGCACCTCTTTTACAATATTCAGCTTTTTTTTAAAAAAAAATTCTCAGCTCAGTTTCATTCTTGACCACTTCACCTAAAGCTAATGGACTGGGAGCGATTCCAGCTAAACCGCTCGGGCCAATTTTGGATGTAAATTTTACCAGGAAGAAGCGTTGTTAGATGCAAAAAGGAGGCGATGCGAAGGAAGCCTTAGTCTGCAGATGCCATGGTATAATCAAGAGAGATTAATTCCAAGGAGGATGCAATTTATCCCTTTCTCATTCAGCATTCCCCATGTGCTGGAGATGTCTCTGTGTTGCAGGAGAGCTTCATCATCCATCTTGGAAATACTGTACTATAAAAAATATCCACTTTTGTGTGCACAGACGTTATGCATGACTGAACGACATGTCAGCCCTTAATAGTCACGGAAGCATTGCTGGCTGTAGAATTCAATCACTTCTCGTTCTAAGCCGAGGGTATGCATCTAAACAAATGTTGCTTTCTTATTATGCCATTAGAAAGAGGGCAAAAAACAATCTAGGTTTCTCTGATTAAAAAAAACAAAAACCTGCCATCCCAAGTTCCTCCGCATAAAGCAACTTCATGTCAAATGAAAAAATGACACTCACGATCAGGAGCCTTTAAGTAACAAAGAGGAAATACATTAGTGAGTGACAATGCCACATCATTTCAAGGTTGTTGGACATATTTGCAAAGCAAAAAAAAATAAATCTCTTTTTGAATATTACTTTATTAACCAATTATTTGCGTTTCCCATCAACAAAGGACATTCCTTTCCATTTTGCAGATCTGAAATGTTAGTGAGGAACCTTATCTATTCCCAAGAGGCACACTTACATAAATTTAGATAAAACATGTTTTTTAAAGTATATATCTCACAGATGTTATTATTTACTCAGGTCATTC